CCACAGAGGCAGCCCATCCCTTCCTTGTGAATATCCTCAAACTCACCAAGGGCCTGAAACACTCCTTCCAAATCCCCTTGGTTCTCAGGTTCCTGCTCGCTGGCCCCTGCTCTTTCAGATCTGGTGCTCCTGAAAGTTCCCCGGGCTTGTCATCCCCAGGCCAAAAGGGAGGACAAAACTGTCTCGCCCTGTAGGTCTCACTGAAGTGGTGGAAGCTTTTCCGCTCTCTGTAGTGTCCCCTGCACCACTGATTAGTGTCCCCTGGGCTTGTCCTAAGGGACGCTTCTCATGGGGTGAGCACGCGTCTTCCTCGGGCTTGCACTCCAGAGGCTGTTCATCCCCATTGGCTTCACAAGCACCCATCGGTCGTATGTGCCAGGTGCCAAAGAGGTGTCCCTTCCTGCCCACCAGGTAAAGAGGGGCAGAGGCCCAGTCGGGGGCACTGGAGGGAGGGCTGAGTGCTGCAGTGACCGCTGAGATTCCGGGCCCCGTGGAGCACAAGAGTGTGTGAACCTAAGAGGTCTGATGTTCCCAAGTCTGACTCCTCTTTGCACAATTATGCTGGCAGTCTTCTGATGCTAGCACTGAAATACCTATTACTACGGTCCTCATCTATGAACAAGAGAAATAAAATAGAGGTATCTGTCCAAAGAGAGGGCAGGTGCTGTGTATCCTTTCATCATGTTAAGAAGAAACACAGGACGTCGGGGGAGAGGGGACAGGGTTGTGGCAAATGGGACGGGAAGCATCCCATGGTTGAGTCTAGGTCCTAGCTCTTGACATGCAGGCCTGTAACTGCCTCTAAGTGAGTCACTCTCTTCTTTAGCCTCAGTTTCTTCATGAGTAAGCGGGGACTGCAATACCTAGCTCAAAGGCTTGCTGTGAGGGATGCAACCAGAGGACGCCTGTGAAAATTCCTCTGCGAGCTCCAGCACTATATAATTATTAGCTGGGACTATCAGTTTGAGAAGTTGGCTTTCATAATGAGCAGCTCAATTAACCCACAGCCTCCCTGCTGACTTGCGCGGGAGGCTCCCCTGCGGCTGGGTCCACTGCCGGGATGGGCCTGCCAAGGGCCCACCTGAGTGGCCTCGCCCGCGGCCACGCCCTCGCACTTTCTTCTCTGAGTCATTGTTATGCTCAGAGAGGTTTTGAGGATGAAGACAGGAGAGTGTGGCCACTAAAGGGAGGAGAAAAAGGAAGTGTGCTTGGGAAGCAAATAAAAAGGAGTTACTTTAGGACAGAGGCAGGGAGGTGGGGGTGGGGGGGGAGATGAGTGGCTGACAGGGAGAGAGGGCACTTGCCTGTGACTCTCCGGAAGATTCCATTCCAGGAGCTGCCCACACAGTTCTCAGTCTGTCCTGTGCCGCCCACGGGGTGTGCCGGGGAGGTGCTGGCTCTGTCTGAGCCTTTTACCTGTGGAGGGGAAGATATAAAATTTTCCCTCTACCCTTCTGGGCTCTTGACTGAGATCCCCATGTAATAAAAGACAGATTATTTTTTAATACAAACAGTTTAATAACTTGTTTACCTCCTGTATAAATGGGAGAGAAACAGGAACAAACGTTTAATAACTTGTTTACCTCCTGTATATATGGGAGAGACCCAGGAAAACCGAGCAACTCCCCTGAATGACCCAAACCATCACATTAAATACCATCTGCAGCTAAAGACAAAAGACAGATGTTGGGGGTGGGGAGCGGCCAGTTAGGGGAGGGGACCAAGAAAAACAAGGGTGAGTTTGTTAGCAGATTTCAGTCCACGCCCACTCCATTGAGGAGATTTCTGAAGATGTAGCCATGTCTCCTTCCTGGTGCAGAGAGGAGGCCCTGACAAATGGAGATTTCCCTTAGGAATGTAAATATCCCTTACAAAATGATGGCTTTTATTTAGGTTTTCAGAGATTTCCCTGTGTCTGCTCTTTCTTAAACATAATCAGCCTTAAATAATCCTTATGCCAAAGAGACACATTCTGGGGAGGCACATCCTGTTCCACTTCATGTGCCACGGAAGTGCCCCTGGGAAGCGCCCCGGGAGCCCACAGAGAGGGCTCAGGAGGTGTTGCGGAAAGGATGCAAAGCCCAGTGGTGCCTCTTGCCTAGCCAGCCCCTCACTGACGGCCGCCAGGCACGCTGAGGGGACAGTGACCGTGAGGCCTGCCGTGGACAAGGGCTGAGAAGCCTTGGTGTCACAGCAGACTCCCTGCCTGCCAGTGGGATAGTCAGGGGCGGCCCTGCGGCCTCTGAGTGCTCGCGGATGTACCTTGCAAACGCAGACCGTCCTGGGGAGAGGGCCCCTGGGGCCGGTGCCCAGAAGGGCTTGGGTGGCCAGCAGGCAGTCAAGCACAGGAAATCTGCCCACAGCTCAGAGAGGCTTTGTCTGTGGCCCAGGAAGCTGTGCCCGAAGACCGGAGGCTAGGGATGCTCTCACATGTCCTTTTTGCCCGTCCTTTGATGTGGTTTCTTATTTACAATGGCCCATTTGGCTGTTTTGTTCAGTCCCCAGGAGGCTTTTCCTTAAGGACAGTAGGGAAAGGCAGGCGGCAAAGGTTCAGAGTGGTGCTGGAGCCCGGGCAGGCCAAGCGCAGCGCCCAGTGTCCTGCGTCGCTGCGTCGCTGCGTCTCTGCCTCTCGCAGGAGCCGAGGTTTCCCCTGGGCCCTTGTTTGGTGGGGGAGCATGAGTGACCCCTACGCAAACCTTGCTCCCTTACTTCTTGCCAAGATTCTGTCAACAGAAGATCACTGAGAACGTTTCCTAGCATCAGCTAAGCTGGCTGCCGGGCTTGGTGCCAAGGTCAGGTCATAGTCCCCTTGGAAACCCAAAGTGGTGGTCACTGTCATTTTTCTCATGGTTCAGATGAAAAAGCTGAGACAGGTTAAGTGACCTGTGACCTATGCAGGCTCATTCACCTTGATCGATGGGGATGCTGGGTCAGATGGACTCTCTGAGGACAGATCCAAACCCACCCCTCAGCAATGGCTTTGAACAGCTTTGGGGGTTGGGTTTCCTTCACTTGTGGTGGCAGCACTTTAATTCTGTATATTAAACTGTCGTAGACTGTCCCATTGCTGATGGCTCAATGTGAGGGGAAAAAACTTGGACTTTATCTGAATCGACCTGCTTTTGAGTGAAATGCAACATAAGTTGGGGACTCTAATCTCCCATCACACTAGCCTGATGACACTGCTGCATTAATCTAAGTGGTTAATGAGCAAAGTGGGTCAATCCAGCTTAAGCCAAAGCCAGGGACGCGGGAAGGAGCGCTGTCCAGGGAGTTGCCCTAGCCGGTGGGTGCCAAGCGAGTTTATAGCATCATTTCCATGAATGTGCTCCTTAGGTTAGTTGAATCTCATTAGGGTAGGAGTGGCTTGAAACTGGAAGTTTAGAATGTCCTGCTGAGAGGTAAATGTCCTCATCAAGGATGTGGAAATTACCTCTCTTCCTTCCTTCCTTCCTTCCTTCCTTCCTTCCTTCCTTCCTTCCTTCCTTCCTTCCTTCCCTCCCTCCCTCCCTCCTTCCTCCCTCCTTCCTTCCTCCTTTCACTTCCCTTCCCTTCCCTCCCCTCCTTCCTTCCTCTCTCTCGTTCATTTGTTCGTTCATTCCTTCCTTTCTTCCCTCCCTCTCTCCCTTCCTTTTATTTTTAAATCCCTGGCCCCAGGAAGAAATCATTCAGAAATCTCTATCCCATTGCTAATGTACATTTGTGAGCAAAACTGAGTGCCCAGTTAGTTACCACATCTCCTTTGGATGTGTACACGAGCCTGTTCACACACATGCTCAACTTTGCTCCTACAATGCTCCTAATAAATTGTGTATTAAACATTATAATAATGTTTATGTTGAGCATGTTTAAAGCATGTTATGATCATTAATTGTTTTAATGCTCATTAAGCTCACATGAGGTAGGTATTAACATATTCATTTTTACAGATGAAGGAAAGAAGCCCAGAAAGTTGGGTAAGTTGTTCAAGGTAGCAAACACAGCTTGTAAGCGGCAGAGCTGGGATTTGAGCCCAGGTAGTCCACCTGCCAGGCCCACATTCCTTAACTGTGAAGCCAAACTGCTGTGATTTTATAAACCTAATAACTGAATAAAGTAGGTGGGATCATTCCCATTTCACATATTGGGATGCTGAGGCTCAGGGAGCAAATAGGGCACAGCCTCACATCACTGAGTCTTATTCTTTTTTAGTGCTAATTACCACCATGAAACTGAATTTTGGTCCTGTTGGGATGGCCTGTATATATTGTAGATTGTAACAAATTTGTCTACATACTTCTGCTCAAATTAATGTTGCAATAGACATCACACAAGTCCTTTGTTTGTTTGTTTTTAATGGCATCTATAGTATTTTTGGAAGCTTCTAGAGTTGTGTCTATGGAATTTCTTCTTGGCACGTTTGGAGCAGTTTAGGCTTCATCTGATTTCAGCCCGTATTTTGGCTGCTGCGGGCTTTGTTGCCTTCACGGATGCACTTCGGAGGAGAGGTGTTTTGTCAGTGGTCACTGTGATGAAGACAGGGGAGCCTGGCTGGCCCAGGGGGACACGTGCCCACAGCCCAGTTGCCCAGGCTTGGTGAGCACCTGAAGGCAGGCTAGTGAGGGCAGTGGGCAGAGAACTCTCGGGGGGCCTCAGGTGCTGTTACTTAGGAAAGGCACACACACCCAGAGACCTTTGGTTCTGACATCAGATGTTTGGGACCTTGCAGAAGCAGAATAACCTGAGAAATCACTGAGAGGCAGCCCGAAAAGATCTTACAGAAACCTGTATCCTACTCTTTACCTTGTAGAAAGGGGCATTTACATTTCAGGTAGACGGCGTCCGGCCTCCAAACTTTGTATGGGACATTAATGTACCTTTCAGGTCAAAAATTCTGCTTGCATTTTCTTACCTATTTCTATAACTGTTCCCAATGAGGAGGGAGCCTGGGTTAGAAGTGTTGACGTTGAGAGGTGTGGCCAAAGAGGCGTCACGTTCTGTGGTCTGTTTCCTTTCCCCAGGGACCTGATGCCCCGAACCCTGGACGGGCAGATCACCATGGAGAAGACGCCCAGTTACTTCGTCACCCGGGAGGCCCCCGCGCGCATCTCGGCCATGTCCAAGGACACCAAGCTCATCGTGGTGGTGCGGGACCCGGTGACCAGAGCCATCTCGGACTACACGCAAACACTCTCCAAGCGGCCCGACATCCCCTCCTTCGAGAGCTTGACGTTCAAAAACAGAACCGCGGGCCTCATCGACACGTCGTGGAGCGCCATCCAGATCGGCATCTACGCCAAGCACCTGGAGCACTGGCTGCGCCACTTCCCCATCGGCCAGATGCTCTTCGTGAGCGGGGAGCGGCTCATCAGCGACCCGGCGGGCGAGCTGGGCCGCGTGCAGGACTTCCTGGGCCTCAAGAGGATCATCACCGACAAGCACTTCTACTTCAACAAGACCAAGGGCTTCCCCTGCCTGAAGAAGGCCGAGGGCAGCAGCAAACCGCACTGCCTGGGCAAGACCAAGGGCCGGACCCACCCCGAGATCGACCGCGAGGTGGTGCAAAGACTGCGTGACTTCTACCGGCCTTTCAACCTCAAGTTCTACCAGATGACCGGGCATGACTTTGGCTGGGATTGAAGGCACCGGGACCGTGTAGCTTACCACGTGGCTTATATATTGAGAGAAAGTATATGTATGTAAAATGTACAGAAATATATTTTATAATAATTTATTTTTAATTCATAAACAATTAATTCACTAAGCTGCCTAGCCACACTCTATTTAGAGAGTTAGCTTCATAATCTGTTAACATTCCAAAGTGTTTAACTCTAATATTTTGTTCTTTTCCTCACAATTGATGGTGCTTCTATTTCCCTCCCTACCCATTATATTTAAGAAGAAGAAAAGCACAACTTGAGATTTTTGTTGTTACGGGTACGCAGCCTTCGATCGCTGTCTGAATTCACTTGCCGTCTCCGTGCGTGTTGGGCCTCCCATCCCAGCTTCGATTTCTCTTCCCACCCATGTACCTCGTAGGAGCGCTGGCTGCCCCAGCGGTGCTGCACTCGGCCGGTGAGACCTCAGGGGCAGCTTCCTGATCCACGTGCGGCCATCTCCGAGGATGTGGATCCCAGACCGCCCGCTAGGTTTTCCCTGTCTGCTTAGCACGCGGGAGAATCACCGCCTCAGCAGGGACTCCCACCTCCTCTCCGAGTCAGCATGCCAGGGTCCGTTTCCTTCAGATTTTGAGTTTGAAGGATGGCCCTGCATCCTCTTTTGCCCTAGTCTCTGGTTCATTAACCAGCTTGATGTGTATGCAAATGTTAGCCCCCTCTTTCCCAGTCACGTGTGCGAGATGCTTGGGTGCTGCTTTAGAAATAAAGACGGTCTCTCCTAATTTGCATGAGAGCTCACCATGCTCCATTCTCCAGTTCTGCTCTGACACACCAAAGAATTCTCCAGGCTAGCAGAGCCATAGGCACAAACCTAGGGTGCTCGGGTGTTGAGACCCAAAGGGCTCAGGTACATCCCATGCCATCAGCATCTACCAAGGTGCTGTTAGGCACAGAACCAGCCATGTAGGGCACATCCCAGTAGGCTGACAGCCTCAATGGGGGAAAAGAGAAGGACCCTCAGAAGGACAGGTGGCCTGGCAGAGGAAGGGTGTCCTTGACCCCCTGCTTGACGTCTGGAACTCCTCTCCTTGGAATTACTGGCTCACCACAGATGGACAATACTGTCTGTCATAGTGAGCAGCCAAACAGTGAGAACTAGGAGCAGCCCTTGTAAGGCCAGGCCAGGGAAGCTGGCCCCACGTTGCCCGTGAGCACTTGAGCCAGACATTTGTGCAACTGTCTCTTGTCTTAGCCTGGTCTTGGCAGAAGGGTTGCCAGAATTGTTGCTGCTGATGCAGAATGCTCTCCCCATGCCTCTCTGTTGAGAGAGCAGCTGGGGATCTTTCATGATGACTAGCCAATAACAGTTGGGTAACCACATAGCAATATCACATAATGACATCCTCACTTTATCTTCAGTTTTCTAAACCAGAATGCTTCCACCATAAAAGAATCATTATTGGACTTATACATTCTTTGAGGCATGTATGGGAAGATATACATATTGCCATAATAGTTAAGTTATGATATTTACAAAGGACACTTTTGTATGTTGTAAGGAATAACTTGCCGATAGAGTAAGAAAACTTATATGAAGAGAATAAAATCATTCATTTTTAGAAACTGATCAGAGATGTCAATGGTTTTTGAGTGATATCTTGATGATCTGGTTTGTATTTGCCCACAAGTTCCGGCCCAGATCTTGCTAGGTCGTGCTTAACAGCAAAACTGTCATCCTGTAGGTTCTGTGCAGGAGGATGGCCCGCGGGCTCTGTGCATTCCAGAGATGTTCTCTTCCTTTCCTAGCTTTGTTGCTGCCTCTGCCAAGGAGCGCAGAACCTGCACTTGGGGTCCTGCTGTAATCTTAGCATGGTTCTCCCCTCTTGCTACTTGTGTTTCAGAGATTTCCGCAGAGGGTGCTAATTAGCTGTGTATCTTTTCAATCAGCAGACTCATTTGAAATAAAACTGACAACACCTTTTCAATGACAGCATGAAGTAAAAGTCGGTATTCACGTCTTCCACCTAATTCTGTCCTGTCCGCTTTCTGGCCGCTCTCATGATCTGACCAGCTCATGACACAGAATTGCAGTGAAGTTCAGAGGAGGGTTTGCGACAAAGCAGTTGGAAAACAAGCACGAGCTATTCCTTCTCCTTGAAGTCCCTGCCCTCTTTCCAAGCTGGACAATTTTTGATGGAGTTGTTTGTTCCCTGCCTTAAAACTGAAACAGGAAATTTTCAGATAGAAGGAGGATCATTTAGTCATAAACACTGAAGTGGGTCAAGATTCTATTCTGGGTCAAATCCTTGAATCCAAACAGATGGTGATAATAAGCACTGAAGGTCTAGAGCAAGTTTTCTATGTAAAATAAATCAATCAAGCACCCTGTGCCTCTCTTCACGGGGCTCTGCTGGCTTACAGCTCGTGACCGATCCGGACACAGCGTCTGCCCCAGGGTTACACCCCATCATGTGACAGTTATTGCAGGGCCTGACCCTGTATGTCTTCCTCCTGGAGAAGTTAGGCAACACATTAGACTGAGCCTTGGGTTTCTCCCTGTTCGAGCAGTCTGCAAGCCACCAACTTAACTTTTAGCTGCTGGGAAGCAGACGCCATCTTACGTTTCGGCAATTTGTCCTAGTACATGTCTTGCATTCCTTCCAGTTCACAGGAAAAGTTCTGATAGTCATTGGAATACTTTATTTCTCTCAGTTTTGTTTCCTTTCTCATTAAAAACAAAACTATGAACAAAAAATTGGAGGATTTTATTGTTTCTCTGTACTCCATGCTTTCTTTGAGGTGTTTGTACAGTAGTCTGTTAACTTGGTAGTTGGTGCCTACAAAGATATGTAGGTGTAGTGACTTAATTGGATGAAGGAGGAGGAGACATTGTCTTCTCATGAGATTCTCTTTGGAAGTCATTTTGAATGGCAGATACATTTTAGACCTTTGGAGAAACCATTTTGGATCCTGCCAGGGTATTTTCATAAGAAAGGAAAATGGGAGGTTCCATTTAATATGTATGTAAAATGCTGACAGAGGACAATGTTGTTTTTCTGTTCAGTTGATCAACAAGGATGGTCAATAAATCTTAAAAGTGTGGTTAGATTTTTTTTTCACTCTTGTAATGTTAATTTATGACTGAGTTTCATTCAGCCTCGTAATCTGAAATACTGTGCAAATTCAAGCAGTGTGTCTTCTATAACCTGGATGTTAGAATAGCCAATATGTACAAAAAATTAAATCAAGTATTTTGTCCTATGTATAACACAAATTAATTTTACACAGAGAAAGATGTTTCTAGGAAAATGAAATTCTGGTAATTGATACTATTTCTTTGTATGAACAAATAAAATATATTTTACCAACTTGTGGCTACTTTTATGTTTTCTTTTGTGTTGCAGACCAACGAGGAAGTGGAATTTATTCAATAAGTAATCACGTGCATGCACACAGTACATACAACACACAGAGGCAATATGTGTGTAGGTTGATCCTTCAGATTGTGAGGGGTCCAATCCAAAACCCAAATAATTCACAAACATTTGGGGAAAATTTTTATGACTGAAGGAAGCAGTGAAGAGAGGCCTCTGGCCCTTGGGAGAGCATAGCTCCCCTAGAGGAAGTGCTGTGAATCACACAATTCCAAGAACACCCCGGCGGTGGCTTTCAAGAGCACCTTGCCGCTGCGCGCTGCAGCCTGGGAGCGCTCAGGTTCCAGGGCGCGGCAGGTGTCACGACAGGAGTGATGTAAGCAGACCACTAGTGGCTGGGTGATCTGGGCAACGGTCGCCTCTCCGGCTCACATGGGCTCAGGAGTCTCAGGTCAGTTGTTTAGGGGTCCCTATCACGGCCTTTCTGGATCTCCAGCCTGTCTCAACTGACCCTCTGTTTTTTCGATTTAGCACACCATCTGCATGATTATTCTTTACTATTGTAAACACTCCAGTCCTTCACTTAACTTTTAAAAAATTCTCAATTGAGATTTATTTTATTTTGGTATACTTTTGGTTGAGTTTTAAAAGTAGCTGACATCAAATTAATAAATTAATGCTCAAACCAAAGAGTCCTGACTTAAAAAATAAACATTTTATTGAAGTGTGATTGGTTAACAAAAGTGCACATATTTCATGTATGTAACTTGATGAGTTTGGAGACGGGTATACACCCATGAAACTAACACCATAATCAAAACCACAATCACATCCACCACCTCCAGAAGTTTCTTCCTGCCTTCTTGTTTTTGTGATAAGAACATTTAACATAAGTTTTGTGTTCTTAGCAAGTTTTTAAGTGTACAATGTGTTGTCATTAACTACAGGGACCATAGTGTACAGTAGGTCTCTAGGACTTAATTCATTTTGCGTAACTTAAACTTCATTTGAAAAGGAAACGTTATAATCTCAGATGAAAAGCCTGACCATAAAGAGATGATCATAAAGAAACACAATGAAATCAAAGCAATGCTATGAATTTCTAGCTACATGTGTCTTAAGCCGGGTTCGCCTCAGGCTCAGCCACTGTGCCTGGCAAATGTCTCTCCTGCTGAAGGCCAGTACCCACCTGGGGTTTGCATCTTGCCATGAGCGGTGAAAGAGAACCGAAGGAGAAATGGCTTGCCCAATGCTATGCGGTGTGTCCGCCAACGCCTAAAACATGAGCGTCATCTCTGGTAGCACTGGGTTTTCTCATACTTTGGGGATCTGTGATCCCACTAAGGAAACATCTTGGGCAGAGTCCAAGTTGGACATCAGCCTAGCATTTTGTGAAGGCCATGAAAAGAACAGCCTACGGAGGGGAGGTCAGGTGGGAAACAGGTCTTCGTTAACCCCTGGTTTTCAAAAGCCCCCATTACATCAAGACTGCTCCTTCTGACCTAGGACGATGCTGCTAGGTGAGTACGGGTGGGCCTTGAGTGCTGACTCAACATTGCTCCCCACCAATGTGATGCTTTTTCTACACAAGGGTCATGAAACAAACCTGAAATTGACTTCTCAGCCTGATGGAACTACTCTTTAGAAGAGTAGTTCCCAAGCTTGGGCAAATATTCAAATAATTCAGAGGCTTAAAAAATGCCGAAGCCCTAACGCACCTGAGACCAGTTACATTAGACTCTCTAGGGGGTGAGGACCCAGCGTGGATGGACTTAGAAGCTCCCTAAGCGTGGACCCAGAGGGCATCATGCTAAGTGAAGAAAGCCAGACAGAGAGACAAATACTGGATGGTCTCATTTACATGAAGACTAAAAATGGCAAAGCAAAATAGAGTGGTAGTTGCCAGAGGCTGGGGAGTTTTGGGGGGAAATGGGGAGACACCAGTCAATGGTACAAATTTTCAGTCATAAGATGAACAAGTTTGAGGATCTAATATAGAACACAGTGATTATATAGCTAATGATTTCATGTCATGAAGACCTAAGAGAATAGGTCTTACTTGTTCTCACCGCCAAAGAGGAAATGGCTACTGCATGACAGCAGGCAGGAGGCAGCTAGTGCTGTGGGGGCCCTCACTTCACAGCCCATACAGGCACCAATCAACACGCTGTGCCCCTTAAACTTACGCCGCACCAAGCATCAGTTATATCTCAATAAAGCTGTAAAGAATTTTAAAAATAAAATAAAAAGCTCCACAAGTGATTCTAACATGCAGCCAAGACTGAGAAAGCATGGTTCTCAAAGTGCGGTCTCTGGGCCACATCTGCTTCCCCTGGGAACTCGATAGACACACACATCTTTTCAGAATCAGAAACCTGGAGTTCAACAAGCATTCCTGCTGATTGCCATTCATGCTCCAGTACAGTGCTGTTAGACTTCATGACATTTTAAAGCTACAGAGCTTGACTTTCTCATTGGGTACATTTTCCTCTGTACCACATTCTTCACCAATAAAGCCAACTCCTCAGCAGCCCCTCACTTCTCTCTCCAGATCTCCCTTCAGGGGTACCCCGGCACAGTCAGTCTTAGCATTTCCAGCAGTGGCCCTGCTGCACCAATCCCTCCCTCCTCCGCGGGGTCCTCTCTTATCGGGCAGCCCCCAAGCAGTCATCTGTAACCGGTCCCTGATGCTGCCTGACAGTGGAAGGAGGCTTGTATGTCATAAGGGATTTTTGTCGTAAAGAGTTAAAATCCTCTAATTCCTAATTTTACCTCACCTTCAACAATTTATTTAACAATCTTCAACAATATATTTTCAGCACCTTGAAATTGATGTTTCAATTTCAAGTATGGGATTGATATTTCTTTTCTTATCCCTCACAACTGAGTACACAACTGACTCCCTAACGTCCACTGTCAGGCCATCAAGATTAAAGGTTCCACTTGGCCATCATTTTCTCGATTAGAAAAAACTCACCTAAACCCACAGTTCCTATCGCTGACTCTGATTGTATTCCTTCATTTTCACTAATTTTTATGATTATTAGGTGTGAAAGACAATAAAATTGTTATGTTATTGCACAAAGTTGGCAGTAGTAACACATCTGTGGGTGCAAAGCCTGCATTCCCCATGAGAGACAGCTTTGTTCCCATCCAGTGGTCTATTCCTGTGTGAACTAAGAACCCCAATGCCTAGTTTCTGAGGAAGGTGAGTAGAAGACCCTGCCCCTGCCTTTAAACCTGTGCTGGCCCATCTGTGGCTCCTAAACGTCTTCCCTGTAGTCCTCAACGCTGTTGCAGTTCCTCCACAAAATCCTGACCTCAAAATATCTAGGCCTGGCACGCTTTTGCTTTCTATATATTTAACAAGAGAAGGCACAACAGAGGACATTGAATCTCCATTGGCAGCGCTAAACATCAGGAACTTCCTAAGAGGAGTTGTCTGATGGGAGGGATGTTCAGAGAAGTTGATTTAAGACATGATATTCCATACGAATTGGAGCAAGAAGAGGCTTCAGTCAGAGATCAGTTGATTCATTCAATAAATATTTATTGAGTGCCGGCTGTTGCTAGGGAGACAACCCTAAATAAGGCACATTTCCTGCTTCAAGGAACTACTATTCTATGGAGGAGTTGAAGATGCAACTTGAATGCAGGGTGACAAGGGCCATGACAAGGTGCTGTGGGAAACCAGGACGGGAGTACGTAAGCTGACTTGGGGCAGTGTAGGGTAAAAGGAGGGTCAAACCAGAAATCTGGGAGGATGTAGGCAGGTGATTGGACAGGGGCTGGTGAGGAGACAGAGGAAGAGAATCATGTGCAGAGATCTAGAGGTGAATAAAGGTGGCCTGTTGGGAACTGCCATTCATTCTCTGTGGGTGTAGCATGGAGTGCAGTGGGTGTAGTTGTGGAGGGTCGGCAATGACTGTGCTGCAGGCCCATTAAAAGCAGCCCAACTGCTTTTGACCTCCAGACTCTTCTTTCTCCTTGCTACTTGACACCTCTATTTGGATGTATCCATAAGCATCTCAGACAAAAACATGCCCAATATTGAATTTGTTGTTCACTTTATTAAATCTTCTCCCCTAACTTTACCTGCTTGGGAGTGCTCAATCTAGAATACTTGGCTCTCTTTTTCTTTCACATTCCTCATGTCCAATCTATCACTGAGTCCTGTCAAGACAACTTTCAGAACATCTCCCAAGTCCATTCACTTCTTTCTTTCTCCTCTGATGCCTCCAGCTGGTACAAGATACCACCCTGTCTCGCTAGGCTCTTGCAGTGGCCCGACCTGCCCTCACACATACTTCCTCCTGCTCCGTCCAATCTAGTCGGCTCACAGCAGCTGGGGAATCTTTTAAAAACTCAAACTGGACTGTACACTCCTCAAGCTAAAAGCCCTTAAGTAGCTATTAAATTTCAGAAATATCCTAACTCCTTTGTTTATCTTGGAAGTCCAGCCTCATTTTACATCCTTTTCTCCTTGGTCCCCATGCTTCAGCCACAATAGCCTTTCAGCTCCTGGGAGGAACTTCATTTTCTTTGTGGATGCCTTTCTGCCAACTCCTTGCCTGGCTAACTTATACTTTTCTTTCAGATCTCGACGCCCCCTCCCCCATCTGCATGAATTCCTCAGTGAGGCCTCCTCTGGGGTAGACGGTTACTACAGTATGCCATGCCACCTTGGATTCGAACTCTCAGGCAGTCGTCCCTCACACTGACTCAGTGCTGGGACTGTGACCGCTTTCACCTACAAGACACAACAGAAAAAGGGCTGTGGCCCTTCCAGGACAATCCCTTGATTGGTCTGGCCACCTCTGCTTCCTCTCCCTAAGACCACTCACTCACTCTTGCAACACCCTTGCCTCACCATGCCCCCCGACCCCACCACTGAACCCAGCTGCCATGCTATGAATAGCTGGAAACACTTAGAGAGACTGTATGCAAGTATG